TCTGTTAATCCCTTGCCTTTTTCCCAGAGCACTTGCAGCATTCCCATTGGAAAACCCCTTTCAGCTACTTGCAGTCACTGGCCTAGAGAATGAACGTTGTGGTGAACAAGGAATAAAATCGTCAATCGCAATCGCGACTTTTTATGCCCCAATATTTGTAAACGCGACTATATTTGTAAACTTTTTGGGCAAGAAACCTCGAAGAATTGCGAGCTCCTTTGGATAGTCGTGCGCTCCCTCGAATAATTGCGCGCCCGCTCGAATAATCGTGCGCTCCTTTGTACAATCATGCGCCCCCTCGAATAATCATGCCCCCTCGAATAATCATGCGCGCCCTCGGATAATCATGCACCCCCTCGGACAATTGCATGCTCCCTCGAATAATCGCGCGCTTCTTTGGATAATCGCGCGCTCCTTTGGATAATCGCGCGCCCCTTTGGATAATCGTGCGCCCTCTCAAATAATCATGCGCCCCTTCGAATAATCGCGCACTTCTTTGGATAATCGTCGCCCTCCCCCTCGAATAATCGCGCTCTTTGGATAATCGGCGCCCTCCAAATAATCATGCCCCCTTCGAATAACGCGCCTCTTTGGATAATCGCGCACTTCTTTGGATAATCGCGCACTTCTTTGGATAATCGCGCACTTCTTTGGATGATTACGCGCCCCCTCGGATAATCATGCGCCCCTTCGAATAATCGCGCACTTCTTTGGATAATCGCGCACTTCTTTGGATAATCACGCGCCCCCTCGGATAATCATGCGCCCCTTCGAATAATCGCGCACTTCTTTGGATAATCACGCGCCCCCTCGGATAATCATGCGCCCCTTCGAATAATCGCGCGCTTCTTTGGATAATCGCGCACTTCTTTGGATAATCGCGCACTTCTTTGGGTAATCACGCGCCCCCTCGAATAATTGCGCGCCCCCTTGAATAATCGCGCGCCCTCTCGAATAATCAAGCGCCCCCTCGGATGATCTGAGCCCCTCAAAAATTGCCCCCGAATAATCGCGCGCTTCTTTGGTCCCTATCCCTTTGGGTACACGCGCCCCTCGAATAATTGCGCGCCCCCTTGAATAATCGCGCGCCCTCTCGAATAATCAAGCGCCCCCTCGGATGATCGTGAGCCCTCTCAAATAATTGCGCGCCCCTTCGAATAATCGTGCGCTCCTTTGGATAATCGCGCGCTCCATTGGATAATCGTGCGCCTCCTCGAATAATTGCGCGCCCCCTTGAATAATCGCGATCCCCTCAGTTATCCATAAAGATGCATCTTTTAAGCTTAAAAAGAGAAATGCACCTTTTCTGGCTGATTAAAAATTCTTTTCTTAGTATTCTGATAGAAATCGAGTTAGTTTTAAATCAATTCCACCAGAAATAAGTGTGTTTTTTTTTTCATTGCAAAATGGCTTGCAAAATTTCAAAACTCCCAAAACATTTTGCTAATTTTTGAGCCTTTAATTTTGAGAAAACAAACCCTTTTCCGTGTTTCTAATAAAAATACGAGAAAAAGAAACGTTTCAGCGGCGATCAACGGTGTATGCACAAGTGGCACCTGTTACAATGATGGAACGAGCGATGGTTGCTATGCAGCAAGTGTTTGTTTTTCATATTATTTTATCATCAAATATTGCAAAAGTTTGAGGAAACCTTTGCTCTAGTTGACTCTTTTTTTGCATTTTCGTTAGCATTAGCATTAGCATTGGGTTAGCATTGGGTTGATGGAAAAGTCGTTTCCGATTTTTTGGGAGAGTACCTTAAATTTGTCGAATTTTGACGTTTTATAGCTCATCCTAAAGCTGAATTCAAGACGGATCGATTGGTAAAAACCGTTTTGGGGCCAAGGCAGTGTCGGCGAGTCAACAGTGCGAACTTGGTTCCGAAAATTCTGTGTGTGCCCGTGAATAAAGCGGTGCTTGGGGTGGTGGAACTGTGTTGTGTGTTCTTGTTGTAGATTTACCCATAAACCTGAGCCCAGGAATACAAACGGGGAAACAGCGTCCAACTCTAGCAATTTATCATTTAGTAATTTATTGGGGTTGGTGGAAAAGATTTCCGATTTTTTGGGAGATTTCCGATTTTTTGGGAGAGTACCTTAAATTTGTCGAATTTTCACGTCAATTTTCTCCCTATTTAAGCAAAAATGAATTCGAAAACAGCGTCAAATTCTGCATCGGATGGTTTAGATCACATTTCGATTGGCCATCGATTGACCATCCTGTTTTTATGACCTTCCCTTGTTAGTTTGCACTCTTAAGAACAAAAATCTGAGAAGAAATTCAACTAGTGCTTAAAAAGCTTAAAAATTGCTTAAAATTGTTGATGGAAATGATGCTTAAAATTGTTGATGGAAAAGTCCTTTCGGTTTTTTGGGAGAGTACCTTAAATTTGTCCCAATTTTGACGTTTTATAGCTCATCCTAAAGCTGAATTCAAGACGGATCGATTGGTAAAAACCTTTTTGAGATATCTCTTTTCTAAAAGTTTTTACAGCTATTTTAGTATATCAATAATAATAATAATAATCAATAATATCAATAGCGTTTCCTTTCATTTGTTGATCATTCCCAATAAACCCATTTTTTTTTCAGGCCACTTGCACCAATGCCTACACTCAAGTGAGTTTCTTTTTATTCAAAAAAACTTTTTTGTAACTTTACTGCCTTAAACACATAGGCTACGTATTTTTAGCAATCTTTAGAAAAAGAGAAAATCTACAAACTTTAGTGCACAACTTGGGTGGCAAACGGCTTCTGCACTTCGACGTACACCTTCGCTCAAGTGAGTTAAACCACAGAAATAGGCTGAGATTGAAAGTGTACGACGTTCTTAGGTAGGTGCCTAAGTTCTTAGGTAATTACCTACCTAAGAACTTGGGCAAAAAAAAAACTCTAAGCTTTAGAAACAACAATACTGTGCGGCTAGCTGTGGCCTCTGTGGATCAACCCCACCACCAATCACGTGCAGAGACAACAGTACAAGGTGAGTTTCCAGCTTTGCAGCCGCTTTTCTCATCAAGCCCTCAACTTACTAAAGAGAGACTTACAAGAGACTAAAGTTTGCCAAATCTATTTTTGGTATTGCCTTTTTGGAATTGCTTTTTGGAATTGCTTTTTGGTATTGCTTTTTGGTATTGCTTAAAGATCTTACCAGAACCATCTTAGGAAGTAGATCTACTATCAGAGAATTGAAGATTGATCAGAAGATCAGAAGATATCAGAAAATTGAGATGTGCAAAGCGTGTATGTATTACGACAGAATCCGAACACACAACAGAATCCGATTCTGTTGCCTGGATCCGATCCTAACCATGAATCCGATTCTGACAACAGAATCCTACCCTGACAACAGAATCCGATTCTGTCATCAGAATCCGATCCTGGCAACAGAATCCGAACATCTACGATATATATAATTGAGGGCTGTCTGCCCGTCCGTCTGTCCGTGCAGACGAAAATTTTTCGAGGCGTGGAGGAGCAGGTGTGGCCGAGGTGATAACGCGCCGGTCTCCAGCTCTGGGGGTCCTGGGCTCGGACCCGTTGTCAGGATCGTAGGCTCGTTGTCAGAATCGTATCCAATCGGATCCTGAAGATAGAATTGAATTCTGACAATAGAATTGGATTCTGTCATGTGGTCGGATTCGATTCAAAATAAGATTTTAGTACTTTAACTTGGCTTTGGAAGGAAGAAGGAATTAAGAATATAGCTTGTACATTAAACTGACTTGTCTTTAAGTACTTGAGCTTGAACTTGAACGTTTTGAGCTTTTCAAAGACTTGTCAGATAAACGTAAACGAACACGAACGAACATTTCCTCAATCTTGACATAAAAATCTTCATTTCATTGCTCACTATTCAATATGTATTATCTAAATTTCAAAAATCTCATTCCTTTTTTCAGTTGTGCCGCTTGGAACACAAACGGTTTCTGTGCTTCATCTTACTACACAACCACCTACAAAACGAACTACTGCGCAGCGACGTGCGGATTTTGTAGCGGATAATTTTCATCTGAATTTTATAATAAAAATCTCGAATTTACGTGCTTTTCCTTTCGAATTTACGTGCTCAGAATCGTTTATTTAACTGAAAAATCTTTCCAACAACAAAAAAAATCGTATCACAATAGAGAGGAGACTTCAAAAGTTTGTTCACTTTCGAAAAAAGTAGTCTAAAGCAAATTTTCTGATATTAGAAAATACCTGTTTTTTCAATGAATGCATAGAAAAAGCACCAAGCAATTGTTCACATACAAAAATTACTCAAGAATTACTACTCAAGAATTACTGCTCAGAGATTACTACTCAAGAATTACTGCTCAAGAATTACTACTCAAGAATTACTACTCAAGAATTACTGCTCAAGAATTTCTGCTCAAGAATTACTACTCAAGAATTTCTCCTCAAGAATTACTGCTCAAGAATTTCTCCTCAAGAATTACTGCTCAAGAATTACTGCTCAAGAATTACTACTCAAGAATTACTGCTCAGGGATTACTACTCAAGAATTACTACTCAAGAATTACTGCTCAAGGATTACTGCTCAGGGATTACTACTCAAGAATTACTACTCAAGAATTACTACTCAAGAATTACTGCTCAGGGATTACTACTCAAGAATTACTACTCAAGAATTACTGCTCAAGAATTACTGCTCAAGAATTACTGCTCAAGAATTACTACTCAAGAATTACTGCTCAGGGATTACTGCTCAGGGTACCAAGAAACACCAAGAAACACCAAGAACGCCGGGTTACACCAAATTACTGCTCGGGATTACTGCCGGGTTACTACCAAGATTACTGCTCAGGGTTACTACCAAGAATTACTGCCAAGAACTACTCAAGTCGCCAGAATTTCTGCTCAAGTACTGCTCAAGAATTACTACTCAAGAATTACTGCTCAAGAATTTCTCCTCAAGAATTACTACTCAAGAATTACTGCTCAAGAATCTCTGCTCAAGAATTTCTCCTCAAGAATAGAGCTTACTATTAGAGATTAGATATGAGCTGACAACAAAGTTTGCAATTGTAAATGAATAAAGCTGAAAGTGGGTCGATTTTGTGGATTTCGAGACAAGCACAATGAGAGGAGAGTCTCGTGAAGACCGGGCGGAGAAAGAAGAGCTGGTGGAAGGGGAATGGGCGATGGAAGAGGGACACGCTCACGGCAACCACCCAACACCTCCCAACACAGCCCACCAAACGACCAAACGTTGCTCGCCGCCGTTTGAAGGTCCTGAAAAGTTGGAAATGATGATAGATAGATGATATTTAAATCAAATTACAACAAATATCTACTTGTTTCTTTGTTAGACTATAAAATAGACTTCAAATAAGCTACCGTAAGTCAAACGAAGGTCGACTTGGCAAAGAGACTGCATTTTAGACTTTGGCAACTTAATAGTCTGCTTCTCTACTATATAAAGGCTCTTTCAGAGCTACGCTTTAAAAAAAACTGTTCTCTAGGACCTTAGCTTCTTACTTATTTAGTTTGTTACTTATTTAGCTTCTTACTTATTTAGCTTCTTACTTATTTAACTTCTTACTGTTTTAAAACACCTAAAAATTGATTATAGTGCTTTAACAAAAAAGAAAAAAGGTTTTGACAGTGAGGGGACTCGAACCAGGGACAACCAGGAATCAGGGACGTGAGGCGAGCACACTATCCGCTACACCATTCGATCACTGATCCGGGGAAAGTATTTCGGCCCCCGCGGTGACGCCGTTTTTCCAAAAAGTGCCCAAACTTCAGATTTTTCTCGAAAATTGAATGCTATGGAGAATGCTATGAAGTAAAACTGAAAAACACGTATCTCTTCGGATTTCAAGGTGACGTTTCTGTGCTAGATCTCATATCCCAAATCGATGCTAAGTTAAAGCATCTCCCTAGCTAGGTTTAGTTAGCTTAACTTAAGTCGATCCAAAGTCACGACTTTGGGCTTTGGGCTTTGGCCTAAGACTTTGGCCAGACATTGCCAAGCCAGACAATTAAAGACTTCTTTTCTGGATCCTTTTTTCAGTGTTTAGATCTACAAGTCTGGGTTTTTGTCTACAAGTTTGCTTTTTTTTTGCTTTTATTCTTTGCTTTCCAATCCTTAGCTCTTATTTCCAAGATCTCTAAGAGATAAGAGTGGGTCAGTTAGAGAAAAACAGTAAGCTAACAGTTTAAGGTGGTTTTTGAGATCAGAAGTGCGTTCTGAATACTCAAGAAGTTAGATCAAAAAGGAGAACTAAGAATTACTGAACTATACCAAAGTTAGGTCCGACAGTTAGGCTGAAAACTACTATATATAAAAGAGCAGTCTGTCGTCTGTCTGTCTTCTGTCTGTCCATCACATCATTTCTCGGCGCCCAGGTCGAATTTCGAAATGCAGTTTTTCTTGGGTTAGACTAGCTACACACTGTCCTCTCATTTCCTAAGGCTTTACTTTGTGCACAAAAAGAGCAACGCACCCTTTCTAGCACCCTTTTTCTTTTAATTAACGAGTCGTTTCAAAAATTGATTAATCAGAAAGCGCTTGAGAACACTTTTACACTTGAGCCTAAAGTGCAGCCTAAAGCCTTGAGCCTAAAGTGCAGCCTAAAGTGCAGCCTAAAGCCTTGAGCCTAAAGTGCAGCCTAAAGTGCAGCCTAAAGCCTTGAGCCTAAAGCCTAAAGTGCAAAAACATTGCCTCAAATTTGAGCATACATTTAAGAAGTAACATTTTAGTTATACTAGTACTAACTGGGTAAAGCATCTCGCTTAAAATGTGCAGCTTTCACCTGATTTTGTGCTTCCGGTGCCATAAATCTTAGCATCTCATCCCGGCTGCAACACGGCTCGTCAAAGAGTGACGATGGAGAGCAACCTGGAAAATTTCCATATAGATTTCTATATTTGCATTTGTGCTTTTCACTGTGATTGCAATTTTCTTTTCCCAAAAAATTTCATTCATACGATTTTTGTATTCTTTATTGGCTGGATTTCTTTCTCGAATTCTTTTTTCAAAACAAATTTCGTCTTTCTCCTTTTCACCAAATGAATCAATCGTTTCAATCAAAGTGAGTTTGAATTTTATCGTTTTTAAAACATTTCTTTATCTATTCATCTTTATATCTATTTGAAATCTATCAATAACGTTAGATTTCTATTGACGTTAAGGAACTGGCGCAAAATCGGCGCGCTTTCTAAAGCGTGGATGCGCTACCGTAACCCGCACAAAATTCCTCCTTTGCCATTCTTTTCATTTTTCATTTTTCATTTTTCTGCATTCCATGATGGAATCGTGAATGTTGTCCGGTTTTTTTATGCCGAATCCCGGGGAGTGGGACAAATGCGACCTTTTTTTGCGCACCCGGACATTTGCTCACCCTTTTTTCCGCACCTTGCCCAGCGCACCTCTTTTCGCGTTTTAAAAAAGCTCTAAAAAGCTAATATTAACCAATTTCTATTCCAAAAGTTGTTTTTCTAGGTAATTTTAGGGCGTAGAATCGAAATTTTGACATATCAGAGCTTGTGGAAACAAACGGACGGAGTTATACAAAGAGAAAAATCGACAATTTTCTGTAATTTGATCTAGCCGTTTTGTCTTTCAAATTGGTTCCACACGCTCTGTTATGTCAAAATTTCGATTCGACACCCTAAAATTACCTAGAAAAACAACTTTTGGAATAGAAATTGGTTAATATTAGCTTTTTAGAGCTTTTTTAAAACGCGAAAAAAGGTCGCATTTGTCCCACTCCCCATTTTTCATTTTTCTGCATTCCATGATGGAATCGTGAATGTTGTCCGGTTTTTTATGCCAAATCCCGCATAAGTTTCCTTTCCCCTTCGGTAAAATCGATTCTCCTTTTTGTAGCGCGCTTTAAGGTTATCTGTCTCCCCAAATTCCCTTTTAAGGTTATCTGTCTCCCCAAATTCCTTTCCCGTTATATTGTTCTGCCCATGTTTTCTGTTTAAGTTTCTAAAATGGGTCTGTTTCGTTTCTCTCGGTTCCCTTTTAATCAATTGTCTTTGAATCTTTTTGTACGTGCCGTATAAATTGCGCTTAACCAATTCTCTTTCAACTAAAACGCACAAAAACGCCAAATCAAATCGGCGCGTTTTTAATATCTTTATACCTCTATGGCACGGTCATTTCTTACATTTTCTTGAATCTAAGGTTCGATCCTCTCAAAAAGCACGATTTGAGTGCAATAGCACGTGTGTGTTTACCTCTATGCGTTTAAAGTACAAACAAAGAGCCTTTTATACGCCAACAGTGTCATTTTCTAAAGAAGTTGAACTTCGTGACTTTTTTACTAATTCAATACTGATACAAAATAAGTTTAGAGTTTATATTATTTAGCTATTAAATTCAAGTATTTCAAATATTTCATTTTCTAGCTCTCGTCGTCACCCAGTTTGGCCCCATCACTCTATTAGCGAGATTTTCGAGGAAAACCGTTTTGAGGTGAGGAAATTTTTGCTTTTTGTCAACATTTGACTTTGTAAATCATCAGATTATCGTGGTTTTGGTTAATCTGGTTGCTAATGGTAAGGTTTTTCTTGGTCTTATTGCCTGAACTCGTTCCGAATTTTAGTATCACTCGGAAGCTTCCCGTTTCATCCGAGGGAACGCATTTGAACGAGTGGGTTTTGGGCTTTGTGTTTTCATTTAGAGTTTGGCATTTAGGGCTTGAGTGAACGTCTATTTTTTTGTTTTTAGGATGATGAGACCCTCTCGGGTATCTCGTCGCTTTCCGTTTCTCTCACCGATACATCCGGTTTCTTTGCAACGCCAAGTTCTTTGAGTGAAGCGGTGAGTGTTGCAAATGTTTTGGTACTAAGATTTGGAGTTTAGTTTTTAGAATTAAACATTAGAATTACGAGTGACGATTAGAAGTCGTTCTCTAGAAAGGCACTTACTCTAGGCCAGTCTTTAGTCAATAAGCTCAATTTTGGTGTCATTTTATGGAAATCGCAAAAAGCGATTGAAAAGAGATTTTCTCAGAGAGATTTTTAGTTGAAAGTTCGCAAGTTGGTGCAACTTTTTATCGCTAAGATGAGTGGGTGGGGCTTCATTTTTTTTTGTCACTACTATTAGGGAAAAGACGGTAATTTTAGCATCTACTGTATCTATCCAAACTAATCTTTGGCCTTTAGTTAACTAAAAGTAAGTAGTTATCTAGCTAAATTGTTTCTTAGTTGAAAAGACCTGATGAATGGCCTTAGGATTACCATTTAAAAGCTACTTTTTAACCTTTTAGCGTCTTGTCCCGCTCCATTCCTCCACCACGTCGGGAAACTTTACCGGTTCAGAGGTGAGGGTGCTTTTGAGTGTTTAGAACTTAACTTAATGGTCGTACATTTAACTTTAAACTTTCTGGCTAAGTGAGTTGGGTAATTGAAATAAGACTGTCTGAAACTTATCATTTCTTTATTTTAGACATCATACACTTCCGACGAGTACATTGACTTTGCACTGCCATCAGTAAGAAATCATTTTGGTGTTTTTTTTTTTAAACTGAATTTTTTAGGACAGTCAGTCGCTCGATCAGTCAAGTTCGATCTCTGGAGAGGAATTAATGGAATACGGTAAGCAGCTTAAATACAAATTGATTAATGATTTCATTTAATTTGTTGACAATTTAGAAAACGAGACTTCAGATGGTTTCGAGTGAAATAAATGATCATAAAATTCATTTTCGATTGATTCGTGCTTGCTTTTGAGTTGGTAAATGTTTGTATTGAATATTTTTGTGCAATAGAATAATTTGATTTGGCAAAATGAGCTACAAATTTGAATTTTAAAACTCCTACTAGTCCTTCAATTGCAATGTTTACAATTGTTGGACAATTGAGTTCAAAATTTTCGTTTTGACTTTTGATACTTTGGCTCAACTTGTCTATTTTGTGTTGTGTCTAATCAAACTACCCACCAATTCTTGCCACTTTCACGTTTCCATCACGATCGACGAAACATGTGTGTGTGGCGAGATGAGAGAGAATGATTTGACGAGACTCGAGGAATGACAAACCAGCCACCACTCCCACCACAGCACTCAGAGCCGTTTTTGTACTAAAAGAAGAAACTTTGATGCTTTGAACAGCTTATCGAACAGAGCTGATGCAATTACAAAGGATTATGGTAGAAGGTCCGCAAAGCACTGCTGGCTGTACTTTGAATTTGTTGGCATGTCGCCATTTTGAAGAACTCGCTCGGTCATACGACTCTCTTGTTAATTTATATAGAATGTTCAAGATTTATGGGGACCAATACTAGGTTTAAAGCTCGTTTTGTACAAATCTAATGCTAAAAAAGAAACAAACGTATAAAATATATACCGTATTTTCTATAATAGTAGTGCACCCCGGAGAGCCGAGTTGGTGACTATTTTACAGTTCCCAAGCTTTCACAGAAGCTCAACACTCAAATCCCCCACTAGATCTCATCGGCAGCTACATTTTCCGACCCCACATCGATAGGTTCTGATGAGCGGTTCTCGAGATTTCGAGCAATTTAGGCAACGCTCTGGGTGCACTACTATTAGAGAAAATACGGTACTTTAACAAGTTTAAGTCACTTTTTTTTGAAAATTGTTGCATTTCGGTTTGATTTTTGTCTAGAAAGGCCCGTGGAAAGTGCTCATTGTGGTATGGAGATCGGATAAATTAAGTTTTTCACAAACATATCTTAAGTTTTCTTGAAAGAATCATAACTAGAAATCTGATTCCAACATTCTGAATATGCCATAAATTTAAAAACTGGTAAATAGTAGGGAATTTCTGATCATTAAACGAAAATAATTAGGCCCCAGGTGTAATTTAATAATCGACTTTCAATAAATCGCTTTTTCGTATAACAATTGTAAAAACAATTGAAAACAATTGTAATTCAGTGCTTTCTTGATCATTTGAATAATGATTTTTTAAGAAATCGATTTTGAAAGCTCTTTCAAAATGGATTGAGTGGATTGAATGGATTGAATGGATTGAGTGATTGAGTGGATGGATTGAGTGGATTGAATCCCATTAAATATTGAAAACCCTATAGGAGTGCCGCGTAGTCTAAGTTTACTCTCAAACAAACCCTTATAACTCGACACCAGTACGTTTGTTTCTATTCGTTTAGGTGTCAAATTAAAGTACAGAGAATGGGTGTTTTTTTGAGATATAACACAGATTTTTAGCATTAACCAGCGGTTAGAAAAAATGATGAAAGATCGGTCGTTTTTGCCACTTTTCAATTCTTTCTTTCGAAGCGCTGATTAATGCTAATATTATGTGTTATATCTCAAAAAAAACGCCCATTCTCTGTACTTTAATTTGACACCTAAACGACTAAAAACAAACGTACTGGTGTCGAGTTATAAGGGTTTGTTTGAGAGTAAACTTAGACTACGCGGCGCTCCTATAGGTTTATTGGTAGTCAACTATCAAATTCGCTTTCTGACGTTAAGAAAATAAGCTAAACTAATTGAAACAATGATTCAAAGCTTAATATTAAGCTAAACTCACTCCAATCTCTCCATTTTCTGAAAATACGATTGCAATGAGCCGTTCTCGGCATATTCGAGAACACAGAAAAATGGTTGCCCCGTTGAGGTTCCGATCATCTAAAAAAATCTTGATTTTCTTTTGATTTTGATTTTGATTTTGATTTTCTATAAGATTTATATCTTATTTCTTTTTCTTTTATTCATTTATTTCTTTTTTATACCTCTAAAACATTCGGATGCTTAAGAGATCCCAAAAATTGAAGTTCTCTCCGCGTTTCTTCAGTTTCTTCCAACGATTTCACGACAACCAAGCGACGCTCGAGTTGACAGAGCTTTACCTGGAAAAGTTTAATGATTAAGAAAGATTTTACAGGCTACAATCACTACTTTATCTAGCTTAGAGCTTGAATTATTGCTTTGTTTGAATCGAATGAGAGTTGAGCGTCCTGGAGCTTACATTTCTGTCAAATCTTTAAACTTTTTGGAAAAGTTTAATGATTAAGAAAGATTTTACAGGTTTACAGGCTACAATTACTGCTTTATTTAGGCTTAGAGTGATTGCTTTGTTGAATGATTGCTTTGTTTGATTCCTGGAACTTACATTTCTCATTTGACACCCTTCTAAATTCCGAACGAATTGCAGTTGTGCTGGATCGATTTGTGGAGATTGGTGATAGTAGATTTCTCCATAATCCGCGTATTGAGTGACACAAGAAAGTGGGGATGAAAGAGCACGAGAACGACTCGTCAACATCAACGATTTTGAATAATTTGCGTCTTGATATGCGGCCAAGAGAGGCATTCGAGAACCACACTCGGTGGAGCTGAAAAGTGGATGGGTTGAATGAAAGAGATTGGAAAAGTTGCTGGCTTTTTTGCCAAAGTGCCAAGTGTTACCTAGGAAAATAAAGTCCTTGATCTTGGCTACATTTAACTGCAAAGAGCTTTTCGATTGGAATCATACAACTCATTTTACAAGCTCTTCAATGGCTCAAGTCGGCCTCTTTCCGACGATCTATTGGAAAAGTTGCTGGACTGGCTTTTTGCCAAAGTGCCCAGTGTTATATGGGAAAATAAAGCCCTTGATCTTGGCTACATTTAACTGCAAAGAGATTTTTGATTGGAATCATACAACTTATTTTATAAGCTCTTGAATGGCTCAAGACGGCTGCTTTCCGACGATCCGCCTTTTTGACACTTTTTGACACAATATTTTCATCTAGAAAGGGATTCTTTAAATAACTTTTTCTGTAAACGGCTTCACAATGGCAAAATGAAACTCAAAACGAATTACAGTCGACTCTCGATTTAACGGCTTGTTCGATATAACGACACATACTTGTGGCTTACTCTTACTTCTTTCTTACTCTCTTACTTACTTCTTTATGACGATCTTTGCTATAGCGACTCTATTTCGCGGTCCTGACAGAGTCGTCAAATCGAGAGTCGATTGTACCAGCAAAATAAAGCAAGTTTTTGTTTACTTACACTGAAAAATCTGGATCCGCATATTCTCCATCAATTGGAATCTTTTCCAGGAAAGCGTTGTGCATGTTATCCTTTGTCATTTGATAAGTAGAGGGAGAGACGCGCTGGAAAGAAATGAATTCAATAGCTTGAACAGTTGAATAGCTAAGCTTTTCAATAGATAAGCTTTTCATAAATCTTTTACCTTGATCGTCGATCCGTCCATCATCAAATGTATTTGTGGATGCTTTTGAGAGAAAGCCGGTGAAGGAATTGGTTTCACTGGTGGTCTGCGTCGTCGAAACGAAACTCTCAACAGACACCCAGCAACGAGACAAAATGAGCCGAGGAGAGCTGATAGAGAAGCTGAAATGGGAAAGATTAGGAAATCGGATTTCAGACAAGCGAATTACAGCGAATTACAGCGAATTCGAGCGGTTAAACATCAAAATAAAATGAAAAGAAAGGAAAAGAATCGAACCCGAGCAAAAAATCGGTTGATTGCTTGGGAAACTAGACTCTTATCCACTACACCACACGCTCACAGCTCGAGGGGGTGAAAGAAGCGTTATACAGGTCGACCTAGCTTTAAAAAGGTCGAATTAGTGGTCAAAAAAAGTCTCTTCTTTAATATAAGGCCTTTTTCGAGGCGTCTTTCATCGCCTCGAAACGTGACCTCGTGGTCTAGTGGATCAGTGTCTTGTTTCCGAAACGAGTCACCGAATTTTTGTCCGGTTTCGATCCCTTCCTTTTGTTTTAGAGTCCGGCCAAGTTTGAGCGAGCTTTGCAATTTATATTTCTAAATGATCCGACTTACCCAAAAACCCAAACAGCGTACTCTGATCGTGTCCATCCACCGCATAAAGTGTCACCGTATTTCCATTGTGCTGAATCTAAAAGTATTCAATGTTAAACTCAGAGTTTATAAACCTCAACATGTTCATATGGAGCGCTTGTGTCCTCCCATTCGAACGTCACCGGTTCCAAATCGAATTCAACTTCCGATAGCAACAACCACTGGGAGCTAGGGGATGGTTGAAGTTGAATCTAGAATTGAATTTGTAAAGGTTTTTGTATGTTTTAACATCTGTTGTCTTGTCTTGTCTTGTCTTGTCTTGTCTTGTCTTGTCGTGTCGTGTCTTGTCTTGTCTTGTCGTGTCTTGTCTTGTCTTGTCTTGTATTGTCTTGTCTTGTCTTGTATTGTCTTGTATTGTATTGATTGTATTGATTGTATTGTCTTGGCTTGTATCGTATTGTATTGTATTGTATTGTTTTATATTGTACAATTGGAACCGGGGCAGATCAAAAGTTTGTGCGCGCCGGGACTCGAACCCGCGACCTTTCGCTTACCTGTGCTAACCATTACACCACAACGCAGTTGATCTCCCGTACTCCACAGCGAGTTAACTTCCCTCCTCTCTGGAGGTTAACCCCCTCTGGAGTAAGAGAGATTAAGTGTGTTGTGGTGCAATGGTTAGCACAGTTGCCCGGTATGCGGAAGGTCGAGTCCAGGACTCGACCGCCAGAACTCCAGGTTCGAGTCCTGGCGGTGCACAAACTTTTGATCTGCCCCAGTTCCAACTGTATTGTATTTATAGTCAAAGATTGTTAAGTCTTGAAAACTTTGTTTACTTGCAGAAATTTCGCAATCCGGCTTTGAATTGGTATGCGAATCCATCGAGCGGTGTCGAATTGACGATCGGCATGATAGGTGAAATGGACTTTTCTTGATGAGAAATGGTTTCCATTTTGAGAAAAACGAATGCTTGCTTCGGAGAAAGTCTAGAATTTAACTATTATTGTTAAAATTTGTTAAAATTTCGATAGTTTTTGGGGAAAATTGAGCCTTTAAACGGGATAATGATGGGTTTACATCTCAGTTAAGTGCACACAAAACCCAATCACCCAACCAACCTCGGCACCCATTTTGAAGTGATTGCTTGTGTGGAAGAGGATCGCCGAAAAGTTCATCTGCTCCACGAAAGTGAAGTTCATTTCGATCGGTTTTCCTGAATCAATGATATAAAAGAGCTGGCGTCTGGTAGAATATCTGGCTGTCCAGTAGGCTATCTGGTACAATATCTAGCTGTCCAGTAGGCGTCTGGCTATCTGGTACAATATCTCGCTG